CATGATCTCGGAACGTAATCTAGGCCCTGCAACATCTTCCATAAACTCATGCGTCCCCTCGGGCTAAAATCCGCTTCATTTATACCTTACATGAATGGAATGATTGGTATTCCTCCTCCTCTTCGTAATATGCAAAAAAAAGGACGAATCTTACTCGATCTCATCCCCGCTTATACCATTAGCCTAATGTCCATCACTCCCTAATGGATGTGTAAGCAGATTAGTGGCTTAAGGTCCGGCATTGGATCTCTTTCCTCTCTTTTGGTGTTTGTTTTTATTTACCTATGGGTGCAGTGGTGAGCGGTGGGACTTGAGCGCTCATGCAGCACTAATGACCAGCCAGGTCATCCTCTCAAATACGGCCAAAGCAAAGCAAAGCAAACCCCCGGCGAATAGAAAAGGCTAGGAAGAGTTTTTTTTTTCTTTCGAGTTCGTGGGACTAGTCTGTGCCCCGGGGCTGGACCCCAAAGCCTTCTAAACAACCCGCCTCTATGTGTCATCTGGGCTTCTCAATATGCCTGGCTTCACTGTGTCACCATGGGGTATCCACTCCCTGCTGGTGCACGAAGCTTGAGCTCGGTTCCGGCCTCCTTACTTCTCAGATAATCGACAAGGTACGCGTATGTACATTTTGAAGTGAAAGCCTGCTACTTCCCTTTCACCGACGGTACCTCCTCTCTTCAATCAGTGATTAGAGCCGGAAATTAAAATCATCTGACAATGGAGGCGGCGAGGGAAGAAGGGGGGATAATGCACAGGGCAGTCGAGAACAATGGCCGATTGGACCCGGGGACCTTTAAGGCTGGGACCACCAGGCAAGGGAAGAGGCCCCCAAGTCCTCCATTGTCGTCTTCCATCTCTATAAGAAAAGCCTCCTTTCCACCTAGTCATGATACGTAATGGGCTTCTTTCATTCCCGCGTACGTTTTTGTGGCTGTGGAAAATGGATGATGGGCCCCGGGAGTGGGTTTTCTTCCTTTTTTTGTCTCCCCTCTTCCTTTATTTTCACCAAGGCTGATTGTGCATGGCTTCCTAATGGGGCTTGTAGGTGTAGTGATGATGATGATGAATCGATGATGATGCAGGTGTCGTGATTGATTATGGAATGTCTTTTCCTTCTTGCAGATACTACTAAAAAGACTAAGCAGACTGGGTGGAAAATCAGACCCAGCTCCTCCCCACACAAAAAAATGAAGTGTTGGACCTGGTGTGTGTGACGTAAAGTGGTCTCTTCATCCTGTGATCGGTGTTGAAGGAGTGGAAGGATCGATAGAAACTGCCAACGATGTTGGGCATGTGGTTGAGTGCGACTCTCTTCGCTATTGGCCTAGCATCGGCCCACAATTTCCCCAAAGAAGGTGAGAATCCCCGCTTTCCTTTTCTTTCTTCCCCTTCATCGGAATGTAGATGTAAACACAAAAGAAGAGATAACTTCACACGGGAACGAGAGCAAGCGGAACCCAGTCAAGAATTTTTGCATATGGGTGCGAAGCAGGAAGAACCCCGTTCCGGTGGGGAGAATAAAAGAGAAGGAAAATAGTTTTTTATGTATATATAGACTTGGAATACCCTTTTCCTAAAAATAAAAAAAAGAAATGTGGAAGTCTGTAGAATGACAATAAAATGGAGACGGAATTGGCAGGTAGATGGCAAACAGCCTCGTTTCCCTTCTTTCCACCGACAATGAGTTTGTGATGGCAACACACAGCCCTCATTTTCCGCCAATTAACGAGACCTTTTGATTCAAAGCCGCCCTGCCGCTCTCCTTGCAGTAAAACATTGCTGCTTTTTTTTTTGTTTTCCAACCCTTGAGGACAATCCGGAGACAGAGACCCTCCTATGGGTATTGGGGGGTTTAATGTCCTGGGGTTGTCAGCTGCATCCGAGTTCCGCCTATCCCCTAATGAACGGGTGCGAACTATCGATTCTCTCGCTCTCCTCGCTCTGGGAACAAAATGGAACCGACTGAAAGTAACGGGACGAGGAGCTGAAGTCGGAAACTCAACTGTTGTACAATAGAAGACAGGAAATGAAGCACGCCTGGGGCCGTCATCTTTTGTCCTTCGTGACTTCCCCGTTTCTCACGATTTTGCTCAATTTTCGAGAGCATATGTGGCGGTGTTGAAAGGAAGAGAAGAAAAAGGCCTGACAGGGAAACGATTTCACCTGTACATGGTCATGATGCCTAACGGCTCTTTCCTGTCCATTCGTAATGGGATGTGGCAGGAGTCCAGAATTTTTTTTTCGGTATTCCATCGCGAATCACGTCGAGTTGCGGTCAGCACTCCCCAGCATTTCCTTTCCTCTGGCCTGAATTCAGCTTCCGTTTCAAATCATGTCGGCCTGCTGTGAATAGAGACGGGGAGACAGAAAGAGAAGATCCTGGTGATGATGGCCAGATCCCGTAACGACTGGAGTTCTTGATGATCTCTTTTCTACTTGATAGAATGTTCTCTAGGTATTTCTTTTTCCTCCTCTGTTTTCAGTGGTGTTGCTGGACACGACGAAAGAAGCGACGCTTGCCTGGACCAAGTACCCGTTCGGACCTCAGTCTCAGACGCCCGGGGTGAGTTTAATATATGGTTACTCATGATTCATGCAAGCATTAATTTATGCCTGCACGGGGTCCTTGGATAGTGGTTAACGAGGAAATCCAATCCTTGAGGAAGAGGTCATTCCACGAGAGGAGTCGAAATCCTTTTATGTATTTGCCGGAACGTCTGTCACTTTCTTTAATAACCTATTCATGCTAAATGGGATGAGAAGGTAATACCCAACGGTGACTTGTTGAGATTACTATGGGCCCATTTTAGAGCAGGGGAGAAACAAAACCCCGAAACGACCTCATTTTGTCGGCTGTTACTGTCGAACTCTTTCTTTGTGGAACAATGGAATATGAAACGCCGTGACGCAATGGCGCCGCCAATGAAAAAAGAGAACTAGTGAGGAGTTTGGGACCCCCAGTTTCGAGCAGTTACCGTATTGGATTTTGTTCCTGGGCGTATTCTCCCGTGTCCGCGCCCCCCCCCCCCCCCCCCCCCCCCCCCCCCCCCCCCCCCCCCCNCCCCCCCCCCCCCCCCCCCCCCCCCCACCATTCCCAGACGCATTATGACGCAATGTTGACACGGAGATTCCATTAGATTAATAGAGATTGTGTTTGTTCGAGAGGGAATGAGACGGTTCTCTCATGGCCCATGCCAGAAGAGTGTGTGCCATGCATTACATAGGTCTACGTGTAGGCCTCGAGTGCTTGAAGAGGGAGCTTCACCACTCCCGTCGATCGAACCACGTTTCGCTTTAGAGGAAAATCCCGGGTCTATAGGCCGAGCCAATCACTCTGGGTGCCTCGGTTCCATGAAATTAAATGGTGGAGGGGGAAATGACTTACTTTTAGTTCCCCCTGGGATACAACACCTGCTGACCGGAATGAAGAAGAGAAGGAACTTTCCCAAACGACAGGGGCATGTACGAGAGGCAAGGGACGGGAGAGACCGATATAAGCGCTATAGAGGAAAGAGAGAGCAGAAGGCGCAGCAGCAATTAAGGCAGTTGATGGTTTTCTTGGCGATGGATGGCACGCGTCGAACCGATCTCCAGCTATTTGTCACACTGGGGTCCCAAAAGAGAGGAAAAGATCTTTAACACGGAGCCTCCATTAGGCCCAGGACTTCTCTTCGTGAGGGGGAACAAATTGAACCGTGGAAACAAGGCGATAAGAGGATTTCCCAACTCGGATTCCGGGAGAAATGAGACTCATTCGGCTCAATTAAACAGATCAAGGCTAAATATTATTTCCTGTCTGAGGTCCTTGTTTTTCTCAGGCCCTCGTCCTTGGCTTCACGAAAATGCTCTCCATACCTGTGGTTTCGTAAAAGGAAACCGCTGTGATCTTCAACCTCGTTATCCTGTCCTCGTAATTTGTTTCACGTTGCGTGGAACCAGATGGAAATAGATTGAAAGTGTTATTGCTATCAAAACAAACCATTCATCAATCACAGCGGCGTGCGTGGTTCAGTGGCAGGGTTCGTGATTGCCTTCAGGCCCCTAGCCTTGCAATCTTCACAACTGTGACATCTTCGTGGTTCCCGTTCCGTTTTTCGGATGGGATGCGAGGTCGGCAGACCTGAAGAAAGCCTTTCTCTCTAGCTGTCAGGGAATGGTGTATGCAGTTATTACGCAATCGGTGAGATGATCAGAGACGGACTGACGCTCGCGAGACTGGAGAGTGAGAAGCGTGAAGGAAAGGGGGAAGAAGTTGGCAGGGTTGCGCAAATGGAGTCATTAGCATGGAATTTGCATAGGAGAGATTGGATTGCGGACGAGAGTGTTGAAGTCGAAAGCGAAGGAAAAGGGAAGGGAAGAGGAGAGGAAGGGGGAGAAAGGAAGGTGCCGACACGTGTCCCTTGGGAGACCCAGTTGCCATGGTTACAAATGAACCTATCTCTTCTCTGCTCCTCCTCGAGTCTTCTCGAAAAAAAAAATTATATCCGCTGCCCACCCTCGCAAAAATGTAATCCCCTACTCATCTGATGGCTTGGCTTTTTCACAGACCAAAACGAATTTACCCGAACGGGAAAAAAATTCTGGGGCTAATGAGCTTGGCCTTTCCTTTCTTTTTCCCTGCCATCTTTTTTTCCCGCTTGAGGCCAGGCTGAGAGTCAGTCTTTGGTTCGTTGCATTCCATAGCAAAGCGCATGATCACAATCTGAGCAACTGGCTTTCTCATACCACCTCAGAGTATTGTGGGTTTTTTTTTTTTTTTAAGTCACATGTCCGTAGTATCATCAATACCGTAGTATCAGCTCAGAATTGGCATTACAATGCGAGGCTGGGGTATGACATGCTGTAGGTAGATCCCCCACTACTCCTCTCCACCATGCCTTGTTTGTGTTTTGTGGATACAGATGCTGTCTGCTCATCTCTTTGTTGTATATACATCTTCGCTGCAGTCTGTATGTCTGAGAAACCTTAGACGAAATCCGGTGATTGATCGGCGTTTGATGAGAGTGAGTCAGCAGGGAACTGCACAGATAAACTGAGTGACCCGATTAAGCCCCCTCCCCCCATTGACGGCGCTCCATAATCGGATTATTCGCGGAAGGATAGAGTGATACGGATTTCAAAGGATTTCATGTCTGTGTCGTTTGATTGGGAAAGACTTGATAGAAAAAAAAAGGGGGGGAGGGGAGGAAGGGAGAACCATTCCCTCCTCCGACGGGGGGGAGTTCAAAGCACTCGAGAGGGGCCAAAGGCGTCGTTTTGAATATGCATGAGGCATTGAGGATAGGACCCTCCACAGGCCAGGGCTATTCTTGGGAGGTTTGTCATTCATTTAACGAAGATTTAGACTCTGTTTCTTCAGATTGATGGGTTTACTGGCTTTTAAATTCAGGCCCGTTGATGGGACCAACAAGTGGGAAACAAGGGATCATCCCTTCACCATGGAGATTACTCAACCCAGCGGTTTTACATCACTATTTTCTTCCTTTTTTTTTTGTCCTTTAGTGGGTGGAGGAGAGTTTCACCAACTTCGACAAGGGGATAAACTGGAGATCATACGTTGTGTGTGATGTGGCATATTCGGACGTTAACAACTGGCTTTGGACACCCTTCATCGAACGGGGTCCGGCTCAGAGGATCTACATCGAGATCAAGTTCTCGATGCGAGACTGTGCCCTCTTTCCCGGGACGGCGTTGAGCTGCAAAGAGACCTTCTCGCTACTGTATTACGAGTTCGACGTTGCAACCCACGAGCCACCACCTTGGCAACCCGAGTCCTATACCCTCGTGGACCGGATCGCGGCCGACGAAGGTCGCTTCACCCAGACTGGAGATGTCATCATCAACACGGAAGTTCGCTCCATCCCAGTCACAAAGAAAGGCGTCTACTTCGCCTTCAGGTGAGAACAGTCCCGATAAAATTTTATTCAGGGGGACAAACTGAGTTCTTTACTTTTCCCTTAACGTCTCATCCGAGTGCTTCCCAGCTGGATTTTGCGAGACACCCTTTTGTGACCCCATACCCTTCAGGTCTCTTCATTTCTTTCAGCTTTTCTATCCTCCCTAAAAGGCCTCGTAGAATATATATAATAGTAGATTAAAAGAGGGAGGAGCATTATAGATCTGGAGGGGAGCTGGAGGATCAGAATCGAAAGCTTCTATTCTCTCAATTGGAGGGGAGGAGGAAGAGGTTGAAGAAGATGGATGAGCAACGAGACAATGGACAAAAAAAAAAGTCTGATGGGCAAAAAGAGCATGGGGAGAATAGATCATCTGCATGGCTCATTGCACTGTCCCTCATTTTTGCATAAGATTGAATCATATCAGGCAGGGATGGAGAGATTCCAGAGTTCTGTCTGTAATGGGTCATTGATGGAATATGTGTGTTTTTTTCAATTGGGCAGGGATCAAGGGGCGTGCATATCCCTGCTGGCGATTCGAGTGTTTTACATCGCGTGCCCGGAGATCGTGGCAGGATTGGCGCGTTTCCCAGAGACTTTGACGGGACCGGATTTGACATCGATAGAGACGGCGGCGGGTCAATGTGCTGCACATGCACAAAATTCCGGTCCCGAACCCCCGCATTACCTCTGCAAAGCCGATGGCACCTGGTATTTCCTCACCGGGGAATGTCTCTGCCAACCCGGCTATGAACCCGACGACACCATGCAGTCTTGTAAAGGTAAGCCGTCGTTTTTATTTGTTATCATCGTAGGTGGTGGTTCTTTTTCTATTACCTCGAGACCTCCTACTTCGGAGGTTTATTTTCTGTCTCCAGAAGCTAATTTAATTTCCCTTCTATTATTGAACGCTCTGCCCTATTTTTCTTTGTTTCTCCACCCCGTGACGCAACCAGAGCGAGACTCAAATGCAATCGGTGAGTGTGAAGGCAGGAAGGAAATCGTAAAGAAAGCATGGATGTGTGTCGATGCATGAAAATGTGATTTCTATTTCTCTTATCTCCAACGGCGGGGTGGAGTCTGAGGTCCCCGTATGTATAAGACTTTAAGCGGATTATCAAAGAAAAAGGGGTTGACGCAGTGATCGATGTCCTGGGGATTAAGAAAAAAATGATTAAAATGGGATCAGCCTAAAAGGCTTTTGAAGGAGGCCGGTTCAGGTTTCTGGTATTTACAACCTGGTCCCTTATATCGAATTTTGCTTTTTCAATTCCTGGGGTTGAGAGACACAGACTTTTCGTGCGTCGAAAGACCGAGCTGGCTGGGATAATAAGGGCAGTTATGTGCAGCGGGCGGTCCGAAGAGAAAACGCAGGTTCCCCACCTCGTTCATCATCCCTCCCAGACCCAGGAGACACCTCCGAGTAGGAAGAGAGAAGAGAAAGATCATCTTTCCTTTTTTTTTTCTTTCTTCAGACTCATGGGGAGAAGAATCCATGCAAATGCCCCCCAGCATCATCATCCTTGCCCTCTCTTTGTCTCACTCGCATGAAACATGGTGTCGTGTGATCATGGGAGATATTGATTATAGGCCATCACAATGACTACATGCGAGGATTTTCCCTGGACATTGACATTAGCCTTTGGTTTTTTTCCGTAGAATGTCCTCCGGGGAGATATCAGCCTCAACCAGGTGGAAAAAAGGGTTGCCTGCCCTGCCCTCCTCATTCCTTTGCCCCCCATGCGGGGCTTTCGGAATGCCGCTGTGACCCCGGATACTTCAGGGCACCTCAGGACCCTAAAGAGACACCGTGCACCCGTCAGTCTTCTTTTCCTTTCCACTCGTCGCGATCCCACCAGGAAAGAGCACCTTTTAAAAATTATGAATTCTTTTCAGGACCTCCGTCGGCGCCTCAAAACCTGACTGTGAACTTCGTAGACCAGTCGACTGTGATTTTATCGTGGAATCCGCCATATAACACAGGAGGACGGACGGACATTCGTTATCGAATGGAGTGCGACACCTGTGACGAATCCGTCACTTATCTCCCCGCCCCCGCAGGACGCGTGAGTCTAATAATCACCCTTTTCTTCGAGACTCGCTCCCTCTAATTACTGGCTTTTGTTTTCTAATCTGTTCTGCTTGAAATGCAGGAGAGTTTCAACGAAACGAAGGTGACGATCTCGCGACTCCGCCCAGTGACAAAGTACCGGTTCCAAGTCTACTCGGAGAACGGGGTCTCTGATCAATCAGACGAAAGCAATTATGTCCATATCACCGTCACTACCGAAGCTCAAGGTGACAAATGTCATCCAGTCTCTTAATTGACACCACTCCCTTTCTCTTTCTTCCCTATCGCGAATTCATGCTCCACTCCAGTTCACTTGAGAGTTTTCGGAATTTCTCTTTCCCGTACATCTGATTTTCAATAATTGGGAGAACGTCATGATTAAAGCTGAAGTTTACCCATGACCTAGTCGTTGCGTGAACAATCATTCTTCTGTCCTTTCGCTGAGTTTGGGGAACTTTTACAACGAACTCTAGCTCACAATCCCAGCCAGTGTCCTGTATTACCTACTATATGTGGTTTTCATCACATTTATTTACTTTGTTGGGTGTGTGCAGTGTCCTTGATGGTGTCGAACGTGCGTGTGGTGGACGTGAAGTCGACAGAGATCGTGTTGGCGTGGGACGCCCCGAACGATCCCTTCACGGACATCGAGATGTACGAAGTGCGATATTTCGTCAAGGGACAGGAAGGGAATGCTTCAACTGTGCTGACGAAGAAAGATGAGAATCCCTTCCCGAACTTGGAACAGAGGACGGAATACGGGTTTCAGGTAAGGAATGACTCTCCTGGCGTGGAATCTTCCCCAAAACTCTCTTCTAAATAGTATGACAACAATGTTCAGGGTAAAATAAAAAGATAAATTTGCATAGTCGTTGTATTTGAGTCGTTTAGATTTGAGACAGGACTGCCAGTTGACCACTTTGCCCACGGATTCACAGGGAAACATTTAACTGACGCCATTGACGTTGGATTGTGCGAAGTGCCCTATTCCCTCAAATGTATTACATTACTTGACACTATGTAAAAAAAAAAAAGAAACTCATTCAAATCCGGCTTTTCAGGTTTCTTTTCGATGAGAATGAAAATTTAGACTTAGGAACTTGAAGGCTGATTTTTTGGGGCGGAAGAGTCGTGAATTTCTGAGGGATTAAGTTGATTTTCCTCTTCTCTTTTCAGGTTCGAGCAAAGACGGACCAGGGGTGGGGAGAATTTTCTACTCCGGCCGTATATCGGATGACCGGTCACGTACTGGCCTTCGTCGGCGACGACGAGAACAAGGAGGTCCACATCATTGCCGGCGTCACTGTCGCTGTCGTCCTCCTACTCCTCTTCCTCCTACTCGCCGCCTTCTTCATCATCAGGAGGTCTCTTGCTTCTCTCCTCTACTTATTTCATCGCTCTCTCGTTTCTCGTCTCCTTGAATTGTTAAAAAAATGTTTGCTTCAAGATGTAGAATATGTCAAACTATTTCGTGAAATTCGAAATCCCACTGAATTTTTTTTTAAATACTGATTTCCGATATTTTAATGTGAAAAGCCCAGCCTCCATTGGCATTATTAACTGGTATTTACACACACACACACACACACACATACATACATACATACCATCATCCCCCCCCTCCCTCTCTCTCCCGAAGAAAGGGGATTTCGTAAGAGCCCTGGTCAGAATGGATTGGAAAAAGTTGATCTTTTTCCTTTTTCCTATAAAACCATTTGTGAGCCACGATGTTAAATGAGATCGTGCACTCGGCCTTATGAGGGGAGGGGAGGGAGGTTGTTGGATCCTGTCAGACGAGTGGAGAGATAGGGCGCTCGGTGAAGCAGCCGTCCGTTCACTTAGCCACATACCATTCCTCTGCCCGTGCAGCTGTACATTCTCACTGCTTGCATCCGCTTTGACTTTACTACTGGACATTTTCAAATAAATTTCCCCATCTCTTTTCTGTTAGAGAGAACTAGATTTCATTCTTATTTCTTTCATTCACGGTATGAATGACAAGGTGGAGTGAAGTGTGATTATTTTTGTCACCAGCCGAGGGAACGAGGAATGCAGAAAGAAGCAGCCGAGCGACTGTGACACCCTGGAATATCGCAACGGAGAAGGTACGGCAACTCTCTTTGTATCGATGCGAACCACGATACGGTGATATGAAAATCCGAAATCGATGTTGTAGTACGAGTGGACTCGCTACTCAATTGGGATTCTTTTTTTTGTCTCTTCCTTTCGCTGCTAACCCCCCAATAAAAACAAAAAGGACTCCTCGTAACATACAGCAAGTTGAATGGCACTTGCAAGAAACGTGAGTCGAGTGCGGTACATAGTCTTGTGTTAATCCAGACTCGGACTCGCCGTTGCATGAGTGTTTTGCTTGAAGGGAATCAGTTTGCCTGAGCATTTTTCTTTTTTTTCTCCCCGTTTTCTCTCAGTTGCTTCTCGGTGGCTTATATGTTGGGTTTTTTTATTTTCTCTTCCTGGACAGTGCTTAGTCGAGTGGACAATCCCCAGATAGTGACCACGCACACTACTAACAGTAAGTTGCCCGGCTTTTTCTCACCTGGGTTGCCTTTTACCCCTCCCCTTTATAAGTGCATTCTTTCTTACACTAGCGCTAACTAACTTTCGATCGACGAGTTAATTTCCCTGTCGGTGACCAAAAAATAATTGTTCGGTCAGAAGCTCTCTCTAAGGTTGCAAGTTTCTATATTTAAAATCCCTTTTTTTCTCGTGCAGTGACGACTCCGTTGTTCACGCAAGTGGGTCCCCCGCGAACCTACGTGGATCCCCATACCTACGAGGACCCGAATCAGGCCGTGAAGGAATTTGCACGTGAGATCGACGCCTCCTGCATCACCATCGAGGCCATCATCGGCGGAGGTCAGTGTGACGCCTCAGATTCTCGAAAAATATAAAACCGGAAATATTCTTCTGACCTCGAATGACCTCGTTTTCATTTGCACCACAGGTGAGTTCGGCGACGTGTGTCGGGGGAAGCTGAAGTATCCGGGTCGACCGGAGATCATGGTGGCCATCAAGACTTTGAAGCCGGGGAGTTCGGAGAAGGCGAAGAGAGATTTCCTCACCGAGGCCAGCATCATGGGCCAATTCGAACACCCCAACGTCATCTTCCTTCAGGGTGTCGTAACCAAATCCAATCCCATCATGATCATCACCGAGTACATGGAGAATGGCTCCCTCGACACCTTCCTCAGGGTCCGTTTCTGTCTTTCTCCATTTCCCACTCTCGAAAATTATACTTGCGGGCGTTTAACAAAAACGTCACGTACTTGTTTCGCGAATGAAACGCTTCCCGTTCGGTCAACTCAGCAGCGATTCAGCAGTAGCAGCGATGTGACTCGAAGTTACACTTTTTAATTTACTGCTGAGAACCCGGAAATTTTTGCTCCTGCTCCATTCTATTTTCTATTATATTCTATTTTACACGATGGAAAATAGAATCCGTCGTGTTACTAGACTCGCGGTGGAATGGATCACCCGGTTACCAATACATGTTCTCCTTTCTCCCTTTCCCCATTGTTTTCCCTCCAAAATATTTCAAACGTGTTTTGAACGTATTGTTTTTGCTGGCAGGCGAACGACGGGGGATTTCAGGTGATCCAGCTGGTGGGAATGCTGCGAGGAATTGCATCCGGGATGCAATATCTCTCCGAGATGAACTACGTCCACCGAGACCTTGCAGCCCGGAACGTCCTCGTCAACGCTCAACTCGTGTGCAAGATCGCGGACTTCGGCCTGTCCCGAGAGATCGAGAGCGCGACGGAAGGAGCTTACACCACTCGAGGCGGCAAAATCCCCGTTCGGTGGACTGCCCCGGAGGCAATCGCCTTCCGGAAATTCACTTGGGCTTCCGACGTTTGGAGCTTCGGAATCGTCGGCTGGGAAGTCCTTTCCTACGGAGAAAGACCTTACTGGACCTGGTCCAACCAGGATGTGATCAAGGCCATCGAACGAGGCTACAGGTCAGATTCACATTCGGATATCTTTTTTGAGACGAGACACTTTCTGCCCGACGCACACCCACGTGGAATGATGGTGTACTAATTAAATTAAACAAAAGGCAATATCAATATGAATAGTGTGAAGAAAAGAAAACGTGGAAGCACACGAGATGAAAAAGAATGACTACCAAATATTCAATTTCGAGGTGAATCAGGCAGGTGGGCACAACCCCAAGGTGATTCAAGAATAATGCTGACGAATATGATTAATGGACAATAGTTAAAGAGATGAGTCAAGAGATTGTGGAAGATGGTTCATTCCATACTTTTCTTATTCGAGGGAGAGAGGTGTCTCTTCCCTCTCTTAACGCCAATCACCAAGGGAAATGTAAGTAAAAAAAATTTGTGTCTTGCGACAGGTTGCCGGCTCCGATGGACTGTCCGGAGGCCCTTCATCAGCTCATGTTGGACTGCTGGCAAAAAGAGCGGACTCATCGTCCGACTTTCGGTTCGATTGTCCAAACCCTGGACAGGCTCATCCGGTGCCCTGATACCCTCAGGAAACTCACTCAGAACCGGTAGGCATCCCGACCGTTTTCCTTCCCGAGTTACATTCTTGGTTTCTTTTTTTTTAAACGTGCTTTCCCCTTGGAATTTCGGTGGAGTGCAGACCAAACCAGAATCCGTTGGCGCCCGATGCGCCGGACTTGACTCGATTGTCTTCAGTGGCCGAGTGGTTAACGTCCGTCAAGATGTCCAGATATTTGGAAAACTTTGAAAGGGCCGGGATCGATTCTCTTGAACACGTGGCTCGACTCACGTTACAAGATCTCCAGGTCCTCGGCATCTCCCTCGTAGGACATCAGAAGAAAATCATGAACAGTATACAGACGATGAGGGCCCAGATGTCCCTTAACATCTCCGATGGCTTCCTCGTCTAGCACAACACATATCTTTCTCTCGTCCGGACGTGAAACCTTCACTCTTCCTTCCTTCCTTCCTTCATCATCTGCCACTGTGACCAAAGACGGAGTTGGGTTTTTTTTTTTCACCCGTCGTTGATTTTTTGCTCAACGTGTTTGTCGGTCTTTCAAGGACATTCTCACTCTCTCCAGTCTCCACTGCCCTTGCACTGAAGATCAAAAATCGAAGACGCGAGTCTTCCTACCTTCCACTTTTTTTTCTGTCTTTTGTCCCCCACCCGTCGAGGGATTTCGGGGAGGCCAACGCATTCTCTCCAAGCTCTCTCACCGAGAGCTGTCATTTGTGATACCTTCATTTCGACTAGATGTTATCAATAATAATTATTGTGGATCTTTCCTTTTTATTGTTTTGGATTTTTTGTTGAGTTTGATCTTTGTTTCTGCTCTGGAAAGAACCTGTCGGGGAAGAAGGAACGCGAAACCAGGATGCATTTCTACGCTATGCAAATTACATCAAAAAAAGATATTGTTTCCCCGTTAATGTGGAAATCCCCCGACAACGTGCAGAATGTGATAGCCAAGAGAGGATCGTGTGCATGCGCATTTGAGTGAGTTCGTCAGAAGGGCTAGAATCTCGTATGAGGTTTTTTCTGTATGAGGAAGTTGTGAATGAAATGATCTGAAGGAAGAAAAATGAAACAAAAAATGTTTTCCTTTGCTCGTGCTGTTTTCTTCTTGTATCAGAAAGAAATGGATATCCCGCAGAGGGAAATCGACGAAACATGATCACAGTCGATAGTGTTTCCGAGTACCGTTCGGTGATGGGGCACGATGCAGGCCTTCTGTGAACTGTCTCTATTTCTCAATTACGGGTTAGAAATTGCACGGGACGAAAACCAGCCTGCTTCGTCGACGGCCGAGATTGTGCACATCGCATTCGAAAGCACTTTATTTGGATTCGTAGTTACGGACGTGCCCCAGGCCGATACTGGCAGGACTGGACAGAATGTATAACCGGGGAAAAGTCTTGGAAGACAGGAGAAGAGAGGCAGGGAATGGGATTTGGGATGAAGGGAATTTCATCAAGGAATTCGTTCGTGACCGGCAAGCCAGAATCGGACTCTCGCGGCCGTCACTTCATTCTCTCCTCACTCCACCCAACTTTTCCTTCCACTCTTTGATTACTTGAACCGGTAATGAGGTTATGCTGGGTCCACCGCTACGGAATCCTTCTCTCGGGGCTGCCTTTCACTCGCAGCTTCAGGAACGAAATGGAAGCAAGAAACGCGAACGTGCCGTGAAGGATCTC